TGAGTTTCATGCATTTCATACAATAGATCTTAATCAAATTTAGACTTCTCCCATCCATCTCCCCCATAGGCCCCGCCTCCAACTGAATTTTACGCATTCTGTCATATATGTTGTCTTACTTGGTCAAGCATCTGTACCCAGGCGTCCTTCAGTGAGAGTTCATCCACTGGAGTCTAGTCAGTCTATCTAGAGTTATTCTTTTAAATATCTACTCTCCCTTACCCTGCAGTGAACAGTTGCCAATTATTCCTCCATTAAGGTTGGGGCCTGATGCCCATTTCCCCAGTTCTATGCTGGGTTTTTGTTTGACTGAGTCTGCACAGGTCTTGTACATGCTGTCACCATTGCTGCAGTTCATATGAGCAGGTTCCCAGAGGCCTGAAAGCCTCTGTTTCCTTATGTTCATGCTCCAACCCTGGCTCTGAGAATCTTTTGCTGATGTGAGAGTTTGGTTACAGCAATAGTTCACAGAGTTCCAGGTGACAAATGGAACCTAATAAAGGAAAAGCCCTACAGGAGCAGCCTCAAGATACCACTTCCTGGTTCTGCTGTACTTTAAAGAAGTGTCATTGGACACCAGGTTCTTACTGTACTTCTCTACAAGTTGGTATTTTAAAGTTGTCTACTCTTCCCTTAATCTTCCCAAATCTAAAAATAAAGAAACAAATAGACCCCAAAATACTAATGAATAGGAAATGCATAAATAATGGAAAATATCTGAAAATTTTCAAGTCAGAGAAAAGAGTGAGTTTACTTGATTATGCAATGGAAGCTGCAACTCTTTTATTAAACTGTTATTCTCATAAAGATATAAACATGACATACTGTATAAATGTTTACAAAGCGAGGTCTATTTTTAGTAGTTTCTATCTTGTTGCATTTATATTTCTATTAACAATTCTTGATGCTGAGACTTTTAGAATTTGGCATTATATTAGCAATAGTTGTATTCCCCCATTCTTCACCTCCTCTTTTTACAAGATAATCCCCTCCCCACAAAGATACGGAACTTCTATGATTCATTTAATTTTCCTTTTCAATGAGTAAAAGAAAAGATTGGCTAGTTATTTCTTTCTTTGATTATGCTGGTAAGTGAAAAAAAAAATCTCTGTTGAAATCAAAGAACCACTCTTCCCTGGACTGTTTTGTTGACAGAGTGATACCATGATTTGGAAATATTTGCCAAAAAGCCCTTTCTCCTATTGTTAAGTTTTTGCCCTGGTTTATTGAGGTTGAGGATCGAACCCCAGACCCTGAGGATGTAAAGCACATGTTCTAACATCACCTAAACTTCAGAGGTGTTTTGTGTTGAATATGTGAGGAACATTAAAACCTAGAACATCAAGAATTTTGACATTGTAAGTTGGTAGATGGCTCGGCAGTAAAAGTTGCTTGCTTAATAAGCATGAGTTATAGCTACAGTATCTATTGAAGGAGAAAAACAACTCCCAAAAGTAATCCTCTGTACTTTCCAAAATGCACCCATATGACATAAACACATCATACATACACATCAATAATAAATATAAATAATAAAATAAATTGATATTATAATAAAATCTAGATTACTGTCCCTGAAGAAACTAGTTCAGGTTAATCAAATAATCTGTTTTCTCCCTCTTTTTTAAAAGTAATTTTTAATGAGCAATCTGAACTCCCATGACATGGTGGGATGGACAGTAGTAGAGGCCTTGTATAACAAGGTATCTTTCATCATGACACCAATGTGGTATTTATTCCATGTGTGGCATTAGTTGTATAGAGTGTATCAAGCCTAAGGTTCTCTCCACCTGTTACACCTCTGCCTGCTTTCCTGTCTCAGCCTACCTAACAGTCACATTTCTCAGGGATAAAACTTTCATCAGATTTATTCATGTGGTTTTTCTTATTTCCACAATTTAAAATATTTTTACTTCATAAAAGATATACTGAAAGAATAGATATCTTTAACCAACATGGCTTCTCTCTATTACTTCCTTCTTTGGATTTTAAAAATTAAAACATTTTTGAGAATTTCAAGAGCACAGTATTTCCATCTTTTCCACTCATCCCTCTGTCCCTTCCAACTCCTCCCATATTACCCCCACTCCCTCTCAATATCCAGACCTCTTCATTAATTATTATTGTTTTGTTTCTTATGCTCTTCTGTTAATAGGCAAAAAATAACTTCTCAGAATACTCAGTTTCTTTCATTTTTTGCTCTTCTTTTGTTTTCCATTTTTTAAAAGAATATTGTTCTTCATATTCTAGTTATTCCACAATTTTTCCCATTTATTTATTTTTTTCTTGATCATTTTATTTCCTTGGGACTTTGTTATTTGTTTTGTTCAATTCATTTCCCTTTTCCTTTAGTTTCTTCCTTCTTAATATTCTTCTTTCTTTCTTTTTTCTTTCTTCCCTTTATATCCTTTCTTCTTAACTCTAGTTTTACATGCACTTTTCCATGAAAAGTACTTACATTATCATAGCTGTGGGTCTACCTCACCAAAAATGCCAAGGAGGAAAGAGGGTTCAGGAGTCCTGCATCTATCTGCACTGGGCCAACTGTCATTTCTCAGGAATGTTTACAAGGTATATGATCTGCAGGTCAGCTAGCACTCAGAACTCAGTCAACCAAGTACATTGAGGGAACATGGTGGACTATTCAACAACCAGTTCTAAGCTGGTTGGGCAGAACAACTCACTCCTCCAGTTAGATAGCTGTAGTTGCAAGTGAGACAAAATCCAATGCAGCTTGGCTGAAATAAGAAAGACTAACATAACCAAATGCTCCAGAAATAATGATGTCACCAAGAACACCAGGACTATATGCCTACCATTCACATGCAACAGCAAATGCATTTCTAGCAAAAGTCCTAAAAGTTAATTGGATTGGTTTAGGTCATACATCATTTTATGAATCAATTGTTGTGGAAGGGAAAACAAGCTACAGTCACCTGCTAATCCTAGTCCATTTACACCCCTTCTGAAAATAGCTCCTGGGACCCACATAATCTTGGAGAAGGGTCAAGGAGGAAACCAACCTCTACTGGAAAGGTAAATGACACACACCACTGAATGAATCAAAATAGCATGCTGATGGTACAAAATAAAAGGCAGCAATTTAAATCAAACACACTCTTTTTCCATGTAGTTATTTTGATAATCATAAGATTATAAAAATGGATAAACATTTCTTTTATGAAAATGAAGCCCTCCCCACATTTAAAAATTATTTTATTTATTTTTATTTTATGATATGGTTGTATTGCCTGCCTGCATGTATGTAAGTGCACCTGTGCAGTGCAGTGGTTGCAGAGGTCAGAAGAAGGTGTCAGATCCTCTTGAACTAGAGTTATAAATGCTGGTTAGCCACCATGTGAGTGCTGGGATTCAAACCCAGGTCCTCTACAAGAGCAGCTAGTACTCTTAACCACTGTGCTATCTCTCCAGTCCCTCTCCCACCTTTTTTATAATCAACTCTTCTGGTAACTTTCTGAGATTACTAGTCAGAACAGAGTTGCCTATTATTATTGTTAAGTAATCGTGAGGAAAAAAATAGGATATTATTGAATAGCAATAATTGATTATTTAATTAAATCAATTATATTCTTATGGGAAACGTGTGCCTTAAGACTTATTAGTGAAGTTGGGTATGTTTGCTCACTCCTATAGTCCTGCATTCAGGAAACTGAGACAGGAAGACTGCTACAAGTTCCAGGCCAGCGTGAGTTATGTGGTGAGTTCTACACCAGTCTGAGGCACAGAGGGAGACACAGTCTCAAAACAAAAACAAAAACAAAATAAGTTTTAAAAAGGAGCAGTTAGTGTATATATTTCAAAAGAAATAAGCAACTAAAGTTATACAGAGTGAAACTCCATTTTAAAAGTAAAGAGACTGGGCTCATTCCATGGGTGAGGGACCGTGTCTCTGTCTTGGTCATAATCTCATACTTCTTTGGTTAAATAGTAAATAAGGTGATTAAAAAATTCGGGGCCAGGATAGAAATAACAATGTATAGAACAGTCATTTACGTGTTCACTTGGGGATGTGGAGAGGGTGAGGGCATTTTTAAACAGTGGTAAAGTAGTTACAGACAATTAGACCATATGCAAGTCTTCAAATAAATGTAAGTTTTTTGCCTTTGAAATAAAAGGTCCATGTGTATTTTCTACAGATTATGGATGTCAGTTTCAAAAGTCATTTTCTGCCATAAATAGAATACTTTTATTTTCCCAGTGCTAAAGGAAATAGCATGTTATCTGCAAGACTGAGTCATCAGCCACTGCAGCCCTACCACATCCAGGTCTCTTCCTGTCTGCAGCCCTTCAAAAGGAGAGGACTATCTTTTAATGACACACAGAAGTCCCTGCGCTGCCTGGCTAGAGTATAATTAATTCTGGCCTTTTCATGCTTTCGCCGGGCACACACAGCAGCAGTGAGTTGAGCTTCTTGTGTGTACCTAAAGCACACAACGCCCGGCAATCTAGTTCTCTTCCACATGCTCTATGAAACACCTTTGTGTGAGTTCTGCTATTATTTCTTCAAAATATATCTCCAGAAAATTCATAGTCTGCCACCTGTATGAATAGTTTCCTCAACTCTTTAAACTGAAATGTTTTGTTTTTCAAATTCTTGGCAGCAAATTTTTGTCTCAACTGTGGCAGGTATTTAAATACAGTAATCAGTTATAGCTGTTCAGTGTTATTTCCTTTTATTAGGACATTTTGCCCTATTTTAATGCATACTTAGATGCCATATTACAGAGGCTATTTCTTCATAGAGAATCTCGAAATGTAAATTTTCAAGGTGCCATTTCAAATCACAAATAGCAACATGGGTAAAAGTTTCACAAATTTAGCTGAATGTTTTGCCTTGAAAGGCTTACCCTTCTTTGTAATACTCAATTATTCTAGATTCATCTGAAGAGTCTGGAAGCAAATGTTCCTTGTTAAATAAGTCATTTTAATTTCAGAGTGTATATAGAACATGGAAATAATGAAATGGGAATTCCTCTCACCTGTTTTGGTGTAACCCCTGGCATTCGAATATCCAATGCAAAATCTGATGAATCAATAGGAGTTACTGCTCTGGTGGTACCAAGGCATTCATTGGAAAATGATCTGGTAGTTTCCTTAAACCTTAAAGAAGAAGATTTCAACATTCCTGAACATAATGGGAAAGGGGAAATGAATTCTATAACCTTAAGGTTAAGGACTATTAAGAAACCCGATAAAAACTTTAGATATGATGACTCTATAATAATCTTAGGCATACCTAGAATTGCATGCGATGGTCTATTGAAAATATATACCCAATTTGTAAATAAAACATAATCAAAATAACAAGACAGGGTGTACTTAAAGATCTATTAACTAAAAGCTTGCAAATGCATATTTATTTCTAGTTAATGAAGAAATTATCAATATTGCCTGCATGCTGGTTTTCTACTGACAGCGATATGAGCTGTGACCCAGGAAAATTCTGTTAACAGTTTTATGAGTTTCCAGTATTATTAATCAGAAAGAGAAGACTAACCATAAACTTGCTAGGAAGCAGAGTTATATGAGGAGGAAATTAAAGACTGCATCGTGAATTACAGATGTATAGGCACATAAATATTTCATATGGTAATTATGAGGTGCGTGAATACAGCCCGATGTTTCCTAGCGAGTGAGCTGTTACTCCCAAAGATCTTCTCCCCACCACCGGTCATTCTTGATGTTTTATTCTTACAGCTGTTCGACATAGGAAGGTATTTAAGTCTAAACAATTATACTGTAGTTTCAGAAATATCTCCCCAGGAGGGGGTGAGGAGTGTCGGAAATCCCAACTTCGAATTGGAGTTCCGAAATCGAGGGAAGAAGATGGGTGGGCTTTCCCTGCTAAGGGCCGGTCCCAAGAAGTTACTGTGCTGAAGTTCCAAATATTTCAGGTAAAGAACATCAGAGCCTTGTAGAGATGCCTGTCCCCGACCCTGGTTCCTAAAAGTGGTTACATTTCTTCACAGCATGCACAGAAACCACCCCGACCACCTTCCGCCCGTCTAGAGGTGGACCCAAACCAATCCCAATACGTACCTCTTAAAAACAGACAGCGGGCTTCGGAACGCCAGGCAGCCGCTGTGCAGGACCAGCAGGAGCAGCAGCAGGCTGCGGGTGCGACCGGCCATGTCCGCGGGGCCCGGAGGAACGGGCGGTGGGGCGGACAGTCGGGCTGGGCTCGGCGGCCGCCGCTACTTCATGGCCCGGGGCGGCGCGCGTGCTGCGGCCGCTCCACTGCCTGCGCCCGGAGCCCCGCGGCCGAGCACTGTGGGTGCCTGCGGCCGGCAGAGCCCGTGGGAAGCGGCGCTGGAGTCCGCTGCGCCAGAGCGCCTAGTGAGCCGGGGCTAGACGCGCCAGGTCCTTATCGCTCCGGACTGACAGCAGCAGTGAGGGCTATCGCGCAGACCCGCGTCAGTCATCCTTCGGAACCTGCAAAAATAGAAGCCGATAATGGATGACTAACACATTACAGCATGTGCCCTCAGCAAATCCCAGCCGAGGTTCTTTAATACATGAGGAGTTTCACAAGCTCGCGCCCAAGCCTGGGGAAAAAGCTGGTCTGTGGAGCTCTCGTCCCTCCACAAGCCCCGCGACTTCCCAAACCCAGAGTGAAGCCCCAGAGCTGTCGTCCTCCCCACACCCGCCTGGGGCTAGCTTGGCGTTCTTATGCTACTGTTGTTTAGATTTGTACCTATTTCTTCCACTCTTTCCTCCTCGTAACCACCCCACTCTCCGGGTTTCTTCCTCTTCTCACCAAAAATGTGCTCAATACCTCCGTTCAATGTAAACAGTTATTCACTCAAATCACTGACCAAAGCACAAGGAATAAACCAGAGAGAAGACAAAGCACTTAGAGACCACAATAATCAGACAAAAAAGACCGAGAACAAAGGCGGTTCATGTATATGCACCGCACAGCTACAGATCAGAGAAAGATACCCCCTGCCCCGAACTACCAAGGACAGTCACAGAAGTCATAGCCCAAGTTCTCAGAATTATTTTTAAACAACTGAAACGCCACAGTCAACATCATATGTGCATTTCTGTGCATTCCAAATGCCCATTAAAAATCTGGCATTTAATATACAATGATTTCTTCCTTATAAGGCACGCCTCCGGAGGATGCTTTTTCCCAAAGTTTAGAAACTGAAAACACAATTTAGAAAGGGTGAAGAGAATTTAGTTATACCCCAAATGAGTTACATCTAGACAGGCTACAATCCAGAACTTCCTAGTAATACAATGAGCGGTGTGAGAGCTCAGGGGAAGGTACCCAAATATGATAGGTTTGGGTGAGCTGAACATTTTTATCTACAGGAAATTAACAGTCTTAAAAGAAGACTCTGGATCAAGGTCCTCTTGTTTCTCGCTCTGCTCCACACAAGGACATGTGGAGGCTCTCTCTTTTACCACAGAAAACCTCAACTGCAGAAGGGAACACAACTGCCTTCCATGATCACCCCAAAATCACACTATCGATTTCAGCACTGAAAACAGGAATGTAACCCTACAAGACAGAGTCCCAAGACCAAGTCATGCCTGTTGCCCAGGCCCACGCAAATTCCAAAGAGAAGGTTTTCTGTATCCTAATGTCCCTAATAAACTGTAACCGTCCATGTTCGCATTCACCACTTTCCTACAGAAAACGGGCTATGCAAGTTTTTGAATATTTCTCGCTAGTAGATAGTCACAGTCCTTTTACTGTCCCCACACCGTGATCCCCATGCCTTTTTTTCCCTGCGAATTTGTTTAATTTTTGTCACTTTATTCCAGGGGGATTTCAGAGCACTTAGGAGAAAATTTCCTTTGTTCCTGTAGAATTCACACAGAAATAACATGACATTTCACGAAGAGGTCTCAACTGGGCTAAATTCTAAAAGAATCAAGCTTTGACCTTATTAGTTGCTCTAACTTATAGCAGATTATGTTATTATATCTGAAAATGATAGTCCAAAAGCATTAATTTAAAATGTATCATTCATATTGTGAAAATAACTTCCCAACACAGACTTCTAAATGTTTTATTTTCATCTATAATTAAGACATGGTTCAGAGAATGCCAAATCACTTGGCTAGATGATAATAGTAAAAATAACAAAAATCAGGTGCTGGAGGGAGTATGGTTAGTGGTATAGCATATGCTTAGCATGCAGGAGGCTCTGTGTTCAATTGCTAGCACCAAATGAATGAACAAGTCAGTAAGATAATTTAGACATTCTCTACAATATGTGACCCTCTGGAAATCATAGCACAGTGAAGCTAAGCACCCACCCCAAAAGTAAAAACCCAAGAACATGAACAAATGAAGCACCACAGGTAATTTACATAAGCAATGACATTTTAAAAGACCAATATTCATTTGCACTTTCCTTTTGGCTCACTGAGCATTTGGCAACAAAACCCCTCAGCTCTGCCCTTCTGGGTAAGAGAAAAGGACTCCTGGTTGGTGGGTACAAATTGCTGAAGGCTGTGCTACGTTATACTGCCTTTGCTCCAGAGTGTAGTCCTGTCAATGATGACACTTAACAGCACTGAAGTTTTCTTTTAAAAAACACACACACACACACACACAAACACACACACACACACACACAATTTCATTCAGAACAGGAATCAGGGACATTCCTTGTTCCAGTTGGCAAAGAAGGTTAGTATTATACAAAATACTTGAAAACAACTTTATTATTAAAATTCTGTTAACAGGAACACACCCTTAAGTACTGGCCTTTGAAATAAAATTCCATTTATCTGTTTGATTGATTTTATTACCTTTGATGTTCCTGAACCACCCACTTAAAGAGAATTGAAGTTGTGGGTAGAATATTACTATTTGTAATCATAAATAGAACACCTTTTATTTCATATATGAAAGCTAACTATGATCCTTGATGCCTTTCAAAAACAAAATACAAGTTATCATATGAAAATCAACATGTCTAACAATTACCATTTCATTTGTTATTTTATAATTCTTATTAATGTAGGATATATAGTATTCAAACTTTTGTCTCAAGTTTTTAAAATTCAAAATATATGTTCCTGAGATAATGTATTCACTCATTTAAAAAAATACTTAATTTTGTATCACACAGAAAGTCATGATACATATTGGGGTTCTGTAAGGTAAACAAATCTTAAAAGAGAATATAACTTATTAAGGAGATGAGAACTTTGCCCCTTTAATGAAAGATGTGTTTAGAAGGAACTACTCTTAGAAAAGTGTCATAAAAGAGTCTCAGGGAATCTGAGGAGGGGAAGACTCTTCAAGATGAAAGCATGCAAAAATAGAAAGATGGCAGCAGCCTTCAGTAGAAGCCGTGGACTTTGGAGCATGCCAGGTACAGGGAACAGCAGGAGCAAAGGGACCCAGGTGGGGGCTGAGGATGTTTTGTGCTCAAGCTGTGGGCTCAGATTTACAATTTTATCTGTAATACAAAGATAATATTGTTGTGCTTGAAAAACAGTAATACAGCTCTGTCTCTTGGGTTCAAGCTGTGGGCTCAGATTTACAATTTTATCTGTAATACAAAGATAATATTCTGTTTACATCTCCATAAATTCATCAGGTAAGAATGGCTTACAGTTTATACCTGGATGGATATTAATCTAGAAGCAGCATCATTAGGTAGTTACCTAAGAGACCATGAAACAAATTTGGATCTTAGAAAGTGGGTTGATCATTTACTCTACTTTTTGCTTAACAAAGATAAAAATTTATGCTGAAATCTGTAATTTGCTAAAGACTCAAAGAAACATATTGGTCATTTCTTCATGGATAATTTACTCAGTGAGAAAACTGGTATGGCATGGTGGCTACTTGAAAACGGAAGGGAAACTGATGCCTGCCTGTACCACTTACTAGCTCTGTCAGACTGAGACCTACCTAGTCTCTTTGTGCCTTCATCTGCAGAACAGTAGTAATCAAATCATCTACTTCAAAAGAGTTATTCCAGGAATAGCTGAGTTAATATCCGCAGGGCAGTGCCAAGCATACACTAAATATTTGCGATTCCTATTGCTACAAATATACATGCAGTACCATAATGTTGAGCATAGTGATAAGACAAAATTCCCACTCTTACAGGAAGGACTTTCCAGTGTGGGAGAAAACAAGTAAGAATAACTACCAAATTATCAATTTCACTTTCTTTTAAGTAGATTTTTTGAGCTTTCTTTGAATAACTTATAACTAAACTGGTCAAAGGAAGCATATCCATTCACATAGCAATGTGACTTCTAGGCATTTACTCTTGGGCAGAAACTAAACAAGGACACAAAATGTCAATATGGATATTTAATAGCATTGTTCAAAATAAGAAAGTACTATGTTTTTAATAGCAGAGCATTTACATCAATAGCAGATGGTCAATATTTTTTTAAACTTACAAAATCAGAATATGAAGTACAAAATTTAATTTTTACAACTAAGAGTGTATCTTATGATAATGCTTTTTTTCAGTTTGCATAGCTAAAATTTTTTAAAAATTATTTATTTAATAACCATATAATTAGAAGAAGCATTTCATTACAACAGCATTAACCTATTCAATAACATTTTTCTGAGCTAGGGTACATCTCTTTCAAAATTGGCTGTAAATTTTTAGGTTTATAGTTGAATTAATAGTTATACAATATTGTACTCCGTATAAACCCTGTAAGACATAAAATTAACTGAGGTTTAGTGTCAATTGTATTAAAAATGATTTTTTTCTGTATGAAACTGTATTTTAATAATGAAATGGAGATCTTTTTTAAAGCATAGCTAAAATTTTTAACAACTGCAAACATAGAGGAATGCTTCAAGAATAGTACAAATACCTTTTTTCTATGACCATTGAAGGAGAAGTTATTAATCTGATCTTTCGACACTCCTAGATACTGTAGTGTGATTTCCTTTTTTAACAAAGTACATTTGGCCAGGTGACATGGCTCAGTGTGTAAGGCATTTGCTGTCAAGCCTGATGTCCTGAGTTCAATACCCTGAATCTATATGGTGAAAGGAAAAAGCCAGCTGTTCACATGCTTGTCTACACACATGCATAAATTACATGCACACAGTACATAAATGTAATTTTAATAATTAAGTTGAGAAAATAAAAAGTACATCATACTACATGGGTAGCAAAAGAGCTGGATATTAGCAGAAAATGAGCTCATTATGTGTTCCTTTTTTGAGGCTGTTTGAGTGGTCTCAGTAAATGTCAGCTGGCTCCTCCCAGAGTGCTTGTTGTCTTTTATTCTGTAGCATCAGAAGTCAAATACATCTATAAATATAATATCCTCTTGGCCACACAGGTGAGCTCCACTCACAGAAGCTGACTACTATATCATTTTATTAGAAGGCAACAGGAGTTTGACTCCTTACTAATGATGTAAACGCTGACCATTTAATTCAGGTGGTCTCTCACCAGAGTTTCCAGTGCACAGTT